AGGCCGAAAAATCAGTAAAATGGCCATAACCTTCGAAAGAAGCAACATGGGCCCAAATCCTCTTAGGCTTTTTCTTAGCATACTGGCCCCTACATATGGGCAAAATATAAGCAAAATCGGCGTGAATCACTTGAAACGGTTCCCTCGTAAGTCTAAATCAGAGGTGCGCGAATACAAGTACAAATTGTACTTGTATTTGCACACTTCTGCAATAACTGTATCAATTAGACAATTAATAACATTTTAAATGGATATCGGATAGCATAATTCATCGAATATATCAGGATTTATACAAACCTTATTTAGGAGAAAATATATACAACTTTCATCAATGCTAATATAAGACATGAAGATAAATATACACTCTTCACTGAAACTGCTACAACGAGACACTATTACGATGAAATTGAAACCCATAATCTGTTTATCAGATACATAAGTTCATTTCATCGAGATCATGTAAACATTGAACATACAATTAATCGAAGACAAAAATAATGAATTTGACGTTAGTTATGTTATATCTACATAATATATAGCATTGTATATATAGTAGTACCTACACAATTTCTTAATATTTTCTTCCGTCTATCAAAAATATTTGTTTTTATTGGAAAGTATATAAAAAGAGTAAAATAATTTCGCCATCGATGATGCCGTGTCAAGAATGCTAATTCAATAATAGAATCTGAATGAAATTGACAAAACGTATAGAACATATATGATTGTGATAAACGTGTTGGGTATCCTCTGATGAAATTGATGGTTACGCATATAATCGTCATATCGAATAGAAAATTTTATGCAGTAAATGCAACAACAATATGTAGACGAAAATATGCGTTATGGGATACAGATGAAACTAATTGATGCAAAAATAACAAAATCAGTTATTCATGTCGTTGTTAGTTGTTTACTATCAATTAATAGTGATTAATTAACAATAGACGTTTCAAGAAATGTAATATTATAGTTATTGTTATTATTGACATTAATAAAATAATTATAAATTTTGAGAAAATTGATTCGTTATTTAACCACTTCAGGACAGGTGACGCATTTTTACATTTTCTGCTATGGAACAGTTTAGACCTATGAGCGCGTACAACTTATCATTGATCTAACTGGCATAGCTCTATGATTTAGAATGAGTGACATATATATGAGCTGTATTACTCTTTGAAAGATCAATAGCGCTGATTACAAATGAAAATTAATTCATTTTTAGCTAACTCCAAATTTCATTATTTTGCTTCGAAAAAAAGAATCCCGGCCGGAAAGGGTTAAGATTTTTTTCGTTTTCCTTCTAGAGTAAAGTACTCAAAATCAGAGACACAAATTAATCGGATTGGTTTTTATATAAATTTGTTGTGATATATAATGCATAAATTTTTTCTTCAATTTGATCAAAACTGAAAAATAAAATTGACAGAATTAGTCTCTATTTTAAATTATAACCAATATTATTCTCTTCTTTTATTTTGAACGCTGAGATGTGTGCTGAACTCTGATAAAGATCGTACAATCCCTGACACACATGCATAGTCAAGATTTTGTTTCAAATTCTTATTATGATCATATAGTACAATAAGTCGAATTCTATCACTTCAATTAAGGATACACCAGTTCAGTCGAACTGAGTTATATCCAGTCGCAATTAGGTATCCAGTCCGACTGGTATCGAACCCACCACTGAATTCATTGAATATTCAGTAGCATTTTTCACACGAGTCGGACTGGGATATTCAGTTAGACTGGATACTCAGTCATCCAGTCGCGACTGGGACTGATGCATCCCTAGCTTCGATATTAATCAGTAAGAATCAAGAGTTTACATCTATAGATTAGATTGAATCTGTATATATGGATATGTTTGCTTTCAATGAAATATGATGTAAATGTACAATCCTGCAGTTAATTACAGTACACCTCAATAATATCCCCCCCCCACTATGTGTTTCTAACTTTAAACTACTATAGTTCGCTCTTTTTTAAATAATGAGTATACAGCGAGAAAGTACAGACTTCACTGCATCATATGGTAGATTGATCATAAGTAACGAATGCAAATCAGACGACAAAAAAATATGTCAGAAGAAAAGATAATATTTTTTTTTCGACAATATATGTTTCATCTGGATTACGAAAAAGAAAATATTTATTTATGTAGACGGCCGACCATAATATACATCAGTGTCACGTGCAACAGCGCATTTGCGATATGCATTCTAGATCTTTCGTCTCGATAAAGATAAGAAAGTTTCTGAAAGTAGCGATGCAAGATTTGTTGTTATCACTGGATGTTGACTTCCAAAATAACTTCTTTGAATCCGTGCCATTTTGGATTATCTAATGGTGATATGTACTTTGCTGATGCTGCTGACATGTAACAAATATCTATGACTGATTTACATTGACCAGCCTTGAATGCTTGTATCATATTGACCTTGTTATGAGATTGACTCTTATCACATATCAAATAAATGTTATTAATACCTAATCGATTAATCGCTGGTGCTAACGTTTTGACAATCCATTCATTCACTATTTCTTTTCTGACACCTTCAATATTTCGGCTTTTACGATCAGCTGATGTTAAAGTCATACAAGCGATCGCTTGTGATCCATTGATAGCACCAATAAAGTCATAACGTTCAGCATAAGCTGATGGTTTGTCGACAATAATTAATAGTTGATATCCGGGGGCTACAAGTGTTCGACGAGGTGACATAATTGCATAAATGGCTGTTTTATCGATAAATACCAATCTATCATTGTGAATTCATTGTAAAAACTTTCGAAACTTAGCAATCTGGTTCCAATGTTCGTCATTGACTAAGTGTAGAAAATTATTAAATGAGTTTTTAAACATTGAAATGAAATAGGGTCATGTCTTTATCATGAGACTATACACTTACTATCACGCAGTGTTAATTCCTGAACTTTTCTCCACTTAATACCACATTCTTCTCTACCATATCTTTGAATGTCACTTAATGACACTTTTTTGCTTAATGAATCTTCAATATGTGATTGTACAATTCTATAATTGACTGGTTTATGTTGACTACTATCATAGTAACGAAATCCAATAGATAATGCTTCACTTCATCGTGTGTCATTGTACGTGGTCGACCGTCTTTTGATTTTCGGTTTAATGATTAAACGGTGTCGTTCCATTGACGATACCAACGCATAATCAGCTTGCGACCACCTTTTACTTTAAACCGTTTGGCTAATGAGTTGAATCCAGAACCGTAAACTCCAGAGCGATATTCCTCTAACACGCTGTGCTTGAAGATACTAGTGTACGAATTATATTTATTCTTCATAATGAATGTAAACAGTGGAGATCGAGGTTAATAGATCAAGTGAATATGTGAATTTACTCGTTGGTTAGACGCAACGGACTCGTATAAATATATGTGCTATATTCGTCCAGTATAGAAATAGACAAAGAGATACATGAAAAGAGAAGAGAAAATGAATACAAAACAGAAAACGAACGTATTGTTTTTTTGAACCGCGATCCTGAACATAAGGAAATATGCATCAACTCCATGCTGGAGTTTTTGAGATTTCGACTAATAAAGTGACGTCACTAAAGATCATCGGGTCCAAAAATTTTTGGACCGGACCTGACTAATTAAAATTTTTTGGACCAGGACCGGATCCGGACCCGATCGGTGAAATTTTTCTGGACCCGAGCCCAGACCCGGACCCGCTAGAAAATCTTTTGAACTCAAAGCTCAGGGGTCAATTTTTTATGGGTTCGGATTTGAACCGAACTCGTAAAACTGTTCAATTTTCTAATATAAATCTGATTGTTGCTCGAGGATATGTTATACGTTTGATTCATTTTTTCTTGTTCCATGGATAGCATTGTCTACATTTTGTTTAAACAGTCAGATACCGCCGCCGTAGGAATAAAATTACAATTGGTTCTCATCACACGTCAATAGCTTCTGATGGAAGAAACAATGCGTATTAAATAAGTGATGATCATGATTATTCTTCGAATATTATTGAAACTGTAGACAATAGTGAAGAACCAGATAATATTTGGTCTGATTTATAGATTTATGATTGCAACTATGTTTACATATTATAGTCAGAAAGAACTTTATTGTTTTTTTTTCTATTTTTTCAAAAGAAATTCAATCTTTTTGGAGTAAGGTGAACAAGAATTTAAAGAAATTTCAAAAAAATTTCTAATACGAATTTAAGTTTTTTTCAATGCGGAACTGACCAATAAAAATCTTCACACCCGGACCCGGCCCAGACCCGACCGGATCCGGGTAGGACTCGACGGACTCTAGACGTCACTGTGTTAGTTTAGTTAACTAGATGCGTTTATG